GAGGCTGGAAATCTGTTGGGTTGGTACTTCCGAACTTCACGAAGAAATTGACGAAAATTAGAACATGCTCTAATTCGTCAAGAACTTGATGAATAAATTCATGAAGTTATTTGACAGCAGATTTGGTGCATTACACTTGTCCAATTTCTTGATGAAGCGACTTCATGAATTAATTGATCAATAAATTGTCAATGTAAAACAGCTATTAGAGCTGTGCGTCGCAGACGACATACGCGGTTAGCAGAATCTGTAGCGTTCAACTTTATCGGTTTTGAAGGGGGATGTTTTGTTAGGTTTATTGCTTGTAATTGTATGCTCATAAGTGCAGACGAAAATATTTCTTATTATTTTGGCAAAAAATTTTTTTTCATGACAATGGTTGAACATTTTTTGCTGACAATACTTATTGAGAAAGAACATGAAAAAGATCTTTGAAATTTAATTAGTTGTCGTCGTCAACCGTAAGTCCACCTAAGCAGAGTCTAACAAACCAGCTACGCATGTTCTTGTGTTTTAGATTCCAACGTAAGTCCGACGCGCACAACTGACTGTCTGCTTTGCGTCGCCTACAGCTCTCACAAACCATAGCTTTAGATTTAGTGCTTGTGATTGTATGCTGATAAGTGCAGACGAAAATATTTATTATTATTTTGGCAAATTTTTTTTTTTTTCATGACAATGGTTGAATATTTTTTGCTGACAATACTTATAGAAAAACACCATGGAAAAGATCTTTTAAATTTAATTAGTTGTCGTCGTCAAAATAAAAGTGAATATCGAATGTTTTCTAACAGACGCTTGGAAGGGACGGTATACAATGGGCGATGTTCTCGTACGAGATTGATTAATTTCTCGTCTTCCTCTGGTGAAAACTTGGTTGCCATTTTAAAATTCTTTAAAAATAAATGCTTTTTTAGCACTGTAGTCCACCTAAGCAGACTCTAACAAACCAGCTACGCACCTTCTTGTGTTCTAGATTCCAACGTAAGTCCGACACGCACAACTGACTGTCTGCTTTGCGTCACCTACAGCTCTAACAAACCATAGCTTTAGCTGCATTCGCGGATAGTGGGAGTAAGTTGAGACGTCCCACGTGAGTCATCGATGACGTTCATATTGTGTGCGCGTCGCTAGTCCTGTGGAGTAGGCTAGGTCACGTTTATCACCGGTATAGTCGGTGCCGTTGCGTATGCTTATAGGCCTACAAATACCTCGGTGTCTTGGATTTATTACATATTTTTCATCTAACACAAATTATTTTTACTTTTAAAAAAGACATTTGACAAGTATTCGGCTGCGCTCAAACTGTTTTACCTACTTCTTTATATTACATTAATGTGGCATAGGTTTGTTATATTTTGTGTACCTTGTATCTTTTTTGTTGAAGAAGACGAAAATAAGGAAATGGTTCAATGGGAAATAAAAAATGTTAATATATTACACAAAATAAGTATATAATTTTATCTATAGCATGACTATAAATATAAATAATGACACATATAAATAACAGTAATATTTAAATAAGTCTCCAATACTGATATGTAACAAAAATAATAAGGACATATTGGTAAAACAAGTTATGCTGCAATCAAGATTGAAAAAAGAACAATATTTTTATCTTAGCTAAATAACAAATAGAATGTAACACCCAATCCCAATATACGTATAATTACGAAAACTAAAAAAAAAAATGTTTTTCTATGAATGGGTGTTATAAACTTAACATTGAAAAATAGTAAAATTTTAAATAAATTTTCTTTTGTTTTTCAATCCCAATCTTAAGACTAAATTGTTTCCAAAATTTTCATATAAACAAAGTTCCTATATTACACGTTTTTAACAATTTCCATAAATTGTAAATGCATTAATTCAGATTTTCATTTTCGATCAGAAACCGGCACTCCAAATTTGTATTTTTATAATAACTTTATACAGAGTGACTCGTAAATGAACCGATATAAGACAGACAATAAATGGGGACCAGAGAATAGGGAAAAACTTTTTTTTGTTTATTTAATAACAGAAATGAAACTAAATTATGCGAAAAATAGATTAACGGATTGCGTTTATGCCAGATTTCCATCATTCTGTGAATTTTCTCATCGAATTCATCAAACTAAGTGAGCTAAAAAGAATATAAAAAGTTTAGTAATGATTTACAGAATGGAAGAAATTTGGGAGGATTGCAATTATGATTTTTTTTTCATTGATATATTAAAAATAGCGATTATTTCTGATAATTATTGTGAATGAATATCAAATTAAAAGTTTCTGTGTACTATATGAAACATTGTTTCGATTTTATTATCAAGTAAATCAATTATTTGATAGTAACTGAATTAGATTTGTATCAAAAATGCTCTTAACTAATAAAATAATCAATTTCGGGAAAATTTTCAGGAATATAAAAAATCAATACGAGACAGAAAAAATTTGAAAAAAGGTTTTTGCCTTTATACCAATAAGAAAACAGGGAACTGGCGTAAAGCCATCTGTCAAAAAAATAATCATATTTGCTTAACTTCCATAAATAAATAATGGCAGATTTAATTTCATTTAAATATGATATAGCGTTTTAAAGTTAAAAAACAAAAAAAAATTCCAACTTTAACTCCATCTAGCGGCTAAAGCGGTACCTATTGATAAAACATTTTTTTTGGAATTACGTACACTGCACTGTCAGTTCATTACGAATGAATGTTTTTATAGAAACTAAACTTTATTTTTCTGTAAGTGTATGCCCACAAGGTTGCCTCAGAAATTTCTTCATGCATATTAAATACACTAAAATTCATATCAATTCAACGAAACTTGAAGGAATCCTTATTTTAACACATCTGGAGTGTTTAGTCTAACTAATAAATAACAATCCGAATCTAAGCCAACTAGTGATTGGAAGGTTTTGAATTTTGAGCAATCTTACAAGTATTCTGCGATCTTCTGGCCTTAATTCTATTTTGAAGCGTATTCAATAGCCCAGCGAGCACATCGTGATTCGGCAGCTTCTTCGCGAAGAGCAATCTTTTCACTGAGTCATCGTATGTAAGCAAAGCCACCATATTTTGCAACAAAAAACCCTGGCAGTATTCCAATAATTGCACCGCGTTGTATACCTTAGCGTGTATGTACATCGAGACGACGTTGTCCAGAGCCAACATGGCCGCGCAACGACTTTCACAGTAACGGAGAAGGCCGTCCAGCTGGAAGAAATTGGCAGCCGCCATGAGTTCTAGAATATCTTCAGGCGCCGGTTCCAGCGCTTGGCATCCTCCTTGATACAAAAACTGCATGACGATCTGAAACAGCAATTCACAATGCCTGTTTGTCCGTGTTCTTCGCCAATTCTTCAATTTTCTATGAAAATTAACCAAGCAGTACTACATATACGGCGTGTCCGTGAATAGGTGCTACAAACTTTAACGACAACTAAGATTTGTCAATAAATATAAAAAAAGGTTCTGACAATTACAAAGTGTGCTACTGAACATCTTCCCTGCTGCGAGACACAGACGGATGACAATAACTTGGCATAGTGGTTATTTAAAACATGATGGTCTAAAATGTCACAACAGAAAATTGTTTACAAATAATTTTGTTATTGATATTTTTCGAAAAAAGCAAAGAATACTACGAATACGAATACTACTAAGCACTATAAATGCTAAATATTATGTTCAATAACATATTATTTTCCACAGTTATAAAAATGGGGGAAGATTGTTTACAGGCTGGTTAATTGTATAATTTTTACGTAAATTCACGTTTTTCGCTTATAACTTTTTTCCGTTCATTTCCACGAGAAAACAGTAAAGTACTTTTTTTCGTCTTCAAAAGACCTACAAAACTAGCCCTCGAGCGTCAAAAAATATTGATTAGATCAAAAGTTATAAACAGAAGAAGTTTATTTATGATTTTTGAATTAAACATTTATAAACTGCGTTCGATTACCGATTCCAGATTTCGTGTTATTAGACAGTGATAAGAAATGAGAGGATGCGATGCCAAAACGATCTGGTAATAATAACGCAGTTTATAAATGTTTAATTCAAAAGTCATAAAAAAACTTCTTCTGTTTATAACTTTTGATCTAATCAATATTTTTTGACGCTCGAGGGCTAGTTTTGTAGGTCTTTTGAAGATAAAAAAAATACTTTACTGTTTTCTCATGGAAATGAAAGGAAAAAAGTTATAAGCGAAAAACGTGAATTTACGTAAAAATTATACAATTAACCACCCTGTAAACAATCTTCCCCCCATTTTTATGTCTGTGGAAACTAATATGTGATTGTACATAATATTTAGCGTCTATAGTGATAAATTCAGCTTGCCGAAACAAAAAGTCGCGTCCAACTCTATATTTCCTGGCCTATTTATTTGGATATCTTCGAGGATATTCTCGGACTGCTTGTCAGGCGTTCCCATTGGAATACCCATATACAAAGACAATCTGTATAATCTTCAGTTGTAAATAAATGCATTTTTATTTAGCACTTTAACGCTAAGTGTCAAATGAATAAACAAAATGACACAATTAATAATAATTATTATTATAGCAACCATCATTTTTATTTATCAGCCTACTTTTATTGAAATATGAAATTATATTTTTTTAAATGTTTGTCATACAGCTTGTAGAACATCCTGTACACTAAACTATTAAAGTACAAATAGGTACACATTTTAGATTCACTATCTCTTAAATTTGACAACTAAGTTGTGTTAGAGTTTGTAACACTTAATTAGAGGCACTCTGTACAACGTGTCTCACGATGACCCCCAATTAATATAATTCAGAGACTACTAAGTCGTGAAATTTTAGACTCGAGAGTTTTCCAGCGTGCTTTTTTCATATATGGAAGTTGATGATATAAAAAGTTATCATGTAGAATGTTGTTATTTTTTATTACTAAATTTTTGGATTCAACTTACTATACGAGTAAGGCAAAAATGTCAGTGCATTATCATTTGAAATGTGAACGGTTTTCAAAAATTTAAATATTTTTTTCATTTTAGCATTTGTAGGTAATAGAACTTCAAAGGTTGATAATTGAAGAAATCAGGAAATCTGATAGGTAATGATAATGCTAATGTAAAAAATAATACTATTTTAGTTTTAAGCATACGTTATAGTATCAGCTATATTAGCTCAAAGCTAATAAAGCTAATATGTATCTTTATATAAAACTTTTAGGAGTACTAAATAATAAAGTGAAATTAAGTTGAAAGGAAATAACAACGACAACGAAAGATGAACAAATGACAAATGTATAAAAACAAAAATAGTTTCTATTGTAATAATCGTGTGAAATGCTGTTCACAAACTATTTTACTTTTATTTGCTATTTTATCTTATTCGCTGATTAATTTTGAGTCAAAAGTCTCGAGTAGGAAATACTACTTTTTCTCCACATATATAAGTTGATTCAAAACGAACTATTAAACAGCAAATCATTATTTCTTTAAAGGTAAAATAATTAATTCATGCAAATTTAATACATTTAGGCCCGGTACTTTTGAGTCCCGGAAAATCATAAATTTGTAATTTCATATCTATACATATGAAAATAACATTTTAATTTCTAGAGAGAGAAAACTATTATACTGTATCGATTAAAACCGTAAAAAAATTTTATTTCGAACTAATTATTAATATTCATTCATATGAAAAAAATTGAGATTCGAGATTATTCTAAATTTTGTTGATGCGTAATTTTTTTAGATCCTGTACGTATCTTAATGGATATTTTTGGAAAGGTCAGTACTTAGACCACCTGCAATTCAAAAGCTGTAGTTACAACTTTTGAACTGTTCAATATTCAATACATCTACCTTAATTTCAATATTTTCAAAAAATTGTAAATTTTTAGAAAACATTTCAAATTTTTGTCTCTTGACTACAAATTTATACGACTTAAATCACAATAGTGTCTGAAATATTCTAATAGGTGTCGCCATGAAAAGCGCTGGTAATACTAGTCATACGTAAATATAATTATACATAGTATCCTTTAATTCGATTACCAAACATTTACAGGCTGCTTAAAATTTACGCAAAAAGTTCAAATGAACTAGGAGATAATTATGTTTTTTTTAGGGAGGAGTTGAATATGATCTGTGACAATGTTTTAAGTATCTTCAGGTTTGTCTAAGTATTAGTTTGATACACACACTTCTACAAAAAAAATGTTACCTGAAAAATATAGGTTTGACACAGTTATCCTGAAAAAGAAACATAATTTTTTTTTATGTAATTTGTCAGTATGACGCTGTAACATTAGTGGCGAGTGAAAATTATTTTAAAAATATTTTGATAAAGACCTCAGTTTTCAAGAAATATTTATTTAAAAATTACGATGTTACAGTTGCATCTAATACTAATAATTTTGAATTTTTTCTTGTAAGACCAATAATTTCTCCATATTCATTACTGTTTCATACTACAGGATCAAAGTTGAAAATTTCAAGGTGGTGATAAAAATTGAGTTGCAGATAATACATGTGTCTTTGTATGAATCACCAATACCTACCCAACAATGTGTACCAAATTCGATACTGATAGATGAATTGGTTTTGAAGATATTTAAAAAAAACTATAGGTATCAATAAGGTTATCTTCAAGGTTCCATTGTAACAAAAATTGTATATAAATTTTAATCAAATCACATCTTGCAAAAGTTTGGCAGTCGACTTAAAGGAAGTAATTCTTTTATGTATATTAACCAAATTAATATACATATAAGGAAACATTTAACAGAAATTGATAGCTCTGTACTCACCTGGAAAATATGGTATCTAATATCATTTATTTGTACTGTTGGAAGGCCTCCTTCACACAATTTCGAGCTCAACATAGCCCTCAGTCTCGAACTTGCAGTGACCAAAACTATTTTATGGGCGTAAAAAAGACGCCCCTCTACCCGAAAAGTCACATCACTCAGTTCCGGATTATTGACGTACTTCGGATCTATTCTCGATCCAGTAGAAGTTGTGGGTGGACAGTCTTTGATGGGTTTTATTGGTTCCCACCCAAAACAAGTCGAGAAAATGTCTGCTAGGAGCAGGGTTGTCCCCTCTTTCTGTTAAAAAAAGAGTAATTGTATATAATTGTTTTGTTAATACAGGGTACACTCGATATCGTTGGCTTAATCCGAAAATGTCGTAAGGACCACGTTTGCCCGAATTTATGAGTTTGGTGCTATCTATTATATTCTGAAAAATATTGTAGTACCTAGCTCCCAATTGCACAAAACTTTTTATTGTATAAACCGTTTCTATAGTAAGTTTATTAGTAACTAGAGGGTAGAAAATGTAGTAAATCTACATAATGAACGTAGTTCACAATGCTGCACTGTGTTCGATCTAAATACCTCTTAAGCAGAATATTTTAAACAAGTAAATTTGTGCTACTTTTGAGATAACGATATATAATAGGATTTATACTGTTTTGAGTGTTGTTTACAATACTAAATTCAACAAAAGAAGAATTTTAAAATAATTCATTCTCAAATCAAGGAAGTTGAAAGACTATGACGACAAACTTACAAAGTACTTAAGATGTTTTATATCTTAATATACCAGAAGAGAAAAACACCACAAATTCAGACATTAGAATCTGGACTAGCGCCAACTGAAATATACTGCATGTTAATAACTCTCTGACTTTTGTGTAGACGACGTGATAGAATGCAATGTACCTAGGCAATGAATTAGAGATAATTAGAGAAATTGTTGATACAGTTGATATAGATATTACTCCTGCAACTGAAACTGTTAAGGCAGAGGGCAATATAGATAAGCTAAATTATTGTGACTAATCTTTTGGTAACAACACTTCCTTCATAAAAACTTAAAGAAAAAAGAAAACTAGTATTAATGAACAGATGTGGATAGAAAGGGCAGGAAAAAGCTTAAGAAATCGATGCAGTTATAAATAAAACAAGAATTCAATAAAATGTAATTTATTTACAGAAGATAGGTTAGAAATATATCATAATTTTTTTAAAAATTTCTCCTGGGAGACTATATACAAACTTATTAATTGGTAAAAAGAAATCAAACAGATATATTATTTAGAATATTACTTGAAAAAGAATGATAAAAATATAACAGTGTGCAAAACAATGTTTCTTACAACTCATCGTGTAGTAGAAAGACTAACTTTAAGCTGGTTGTGTGACCCCGGAAATTAAAACTGATAAAACAGAAGCTGCTACGGACACATGTCGAAATAACTACAGATATGAAAAAGAAAAACCGAAAAAGTTTTTTAACAAACTTCCGAAGATATAACCTCAATATTGGAAAGCTACAAAGCTTGATCTAAAAGTTTGGCAAATCTGTACAGGTTTTATAAAAACTTATAGTGTTTGGAAAATCGAGTTAAGCCTTTCAATTTCCTTGCACGAAGCACGAAGCACGTGCAAGAAAAAGATAGGAACAAAGTTGTCGTTAATAAAGTATTATGTTATGGATCTTCAATACGTTTTGTTGTGTCCTAGGTTCAACGTTTATTCATGACATTTCCAAACTAAATCGCACACAATTTTACTCTATGCGACATGAAAAACTCTGACCGGTACTACTATTATCTATGGCATGAAAGTGCAGGTGAAGCAAATAATTACGCTTCTATTATTATTATCATCTGCAAACTGCGCAAAACAGAAGTTGTGTCCTTGCCAATACCCTTCTAAAATCTGCAAGTATCATTAATAAGGTAACTAATGAACAAAATAAAAAAGTAGACTAAAAAGCAAAAAGGCCAATGTGCCATCTGCTTATGTCGGAATATGTTTAAAAGCTCGACAAAATTCAAAATCATATAATGTTTACAGAAGATATGTCGTAAACATAGTACTACTACCAAAGAGCAAGGCTAAGTAGAGGATAAAATATCTATATAAATTTAAATGACACCACTTATCCGATAAACCTTAGTGTTGAGACAAAGTTTCCGTGGCATATTGGAAGGAGCTAAAACATATTACTACGTGCTTTTCTAAATTTTCTTTACTGAAACGGCGACGTTTATCACTTATATTAACTTGAGTAGAAAAAATGACCACTCAACGTCTACTGTTGACAACGGACAGTATGAGAAATTGTTGAGGCATGAACATATTTGCTGATAACACCTGATATGTACCAGATAAAAATTTACATATGTTTTCCAAAATGGTGTATCCTGGATTTTTTTCCAACACTCTTTGCATTTTTTCTTTTATCGTACTACTGACTGAGCGCCTGAACATATTTGCTGATAACTCCTGATATGTACCTGATAAAACTTTACATATGTTTTCCAAAATGGTGTTTCTTTTATTGTACGATTGACCGAGCGTATATTATTGGCATCGTATATATTTTTTTGTGCATCGTCCATTATATCAAATTGTTCATTTAGAGATAGTCCATATGATTCCAATTTACGGAATTACGGAACTTGTGCTTCTCTAGTTTATTTAATGGAATATTGCTTGAAAGAAAGGCGTCTGTAAGTTCATAGAAAAATATAGAGTCTTCAGCGCTGGACGAGGCATGGCTCTTCAAATGTCTTGTCACTTTAGTTTTGTAACAACAATTTATAATCACAGAACACCCTCTTATAATGCGTTCACACACAGTACAAAAGAGGTCATTTCCTTTAATACGCATGTCCCTGTAACTTTCAGGATCACTGTCAAACCAAATTTAAAATAATTCCCGTCTATTTCTTTTCTCTTCTGGCATTTTATTTCACTTTCCCCCCAACTAATTGTTGTTAATATAAGTTATATTACTATTTACAAATAGTGTTTTAAATACACACGGCGAATATAATTTACAGCAGAGGTAAAAAAGAAAGGTATCGACGCACTATTCATAATGTGATCATGTGATTCTGATCAGCTTAGTTATAACTAAATTTCTTTTCATTTGCAATTTTAAATAGTTAACTACATTTTCCTTCTACATTTCGTTTTAAAATTTATAGTGTATTGAAACACATATTTCTTATTACATGAAATATTGTCATGTACCCTTTATGAAAATATAATAGGTCCAACGAATAACTGTTTTTTATGTTGTAGGTCACTTATTAATTGCTAGAACTCAGTAAATATTTTAAAAGCATGGTTGTTTTGAAAATTCTGCTACCGTAAAGTCATACCTAAGAATGCAGTTTACCAGTTGTTATTAATATATTCACCGTTTTTTATCTCCCTTATAAAATTTGCTCTTTCGGACTTACGACATTTACGGATTAAGCCAACATAATATCGTGGCTTAATTAACGCGTATTTTCTCTAATAATGCGTCGACTTTAATTGCCCATGCCCCTGATCGATCTCCGCTCATAAGGTTATTAGATCATGTTTTACTAAAAAATCAAAGCAATAGAAAATTACGGATGTTTTCAAACCTTATTTTGAATGCACATCTTTCTTTGTTAGTTTAGTAATTTTGTAAAAAAGTCATGTTTCGTTTCTACTCTTCTCTACTTTTACGGTATATTTTATTTATTTGTATAGTGTTGTTTATATGATAAAAATATGTACATACATAAGAAAATTTTATTTTTCTATACGTACGTACATACATACATGATGTAAGTTTAAAAGGTTAATTTTTGTTATAGTGCAGTTCATCTGTAACGCGTCTTTCCGACCTAAATCCGCAGAATAACGAGAGCCTACTACACCTACAAGAAGAAATGTTATACGTTTTTAAATACTCACTTTACTATAACGGAAAATATTGAATAGCAGAGGTAGACATTCCTGCACGAATTGCGAGCTGTAATCATCTGGACAAACTTGCAAAAAATCTTGCAATAGCTGATCTATTACGCAATCTAATCTAGCTTCATGTGCAGCTCCTAGAGAATGCATCCAACAGTGTAGAGTCCAAGGGACACCCAAGGTCCTTATTTCAACTGTTATATCTAGATGATTGTTCTCAGCACTGTGATACATGGCCTCCTGAAGAGATTTTATTTGTGCTTTATTAAACTGCGGGGTGTTAGAAGGACTGGAGCTATTTGGGGCACCTAGAAATTAATTTTGAAAGTCTAAAACCAACACCTCAAATTGCAAATGTCAATTACCTTCGGCTAACATCTCCTCTAAAGACAACACCTCTTTGTTTATAGGCGCCAAAGGTTGGGCCAATAGTTTTTGCAGAATTGCTCTATGCCCATGCGCAGCTGCAACTGAAATGGGACTATAACATCCCCTTTGGGTGGATGCAGAATAACAAAGGGAATCCTTAATTTGAGTAGAAAAAAATTGGTTGGCTCCATGGGCACAAAGTAAAGACACCATGTCGGCATTACCGCTCCCACAAGCAACCTAAAAATAATATAAACAGTTAATAAAGTTTTTCAAATTAATTGAAAAGAAAAAAAATACCTGTAAAGGAGTAAGAGTGCATTTTTCATCACTTATAGTGGCTCCTCCTTCGACATTTGCTCCTCTTTCTAAAAGAATCCTAGCACACTTAGTGTGACCCTTCACGGCTGCATAAGTTAAAGCTGTCCAATGCTGATTCTCCCCGTTTACTGCTGCAAACGCGGGAAGTACAGGAGCAGGAGTTTCTGTATCAACAGATGCTCCTGCATCTAACAGTGCCTAGAAGAAACATAGCTCATATAAAATTGAACTAAGAAAATAAAACATGCATCCTTCTAAGATACTTTACCGATAAAGTCATCTCATCATTATGAATTGCAGCCAACATAAGCGCAGTGTGTCCCTGTGGATTAAGAGTATCCAATCTCGTTGAAGCTGGTAACAAAGGTATTGCTTGCTGAATCAACTCTGGCCTACCTGTTAACATTAACCTGAAAGCTAACTCAACCTGCAAAATATAAATATATCATGAAATATTAAACTGATGTACAAAGAAATAGCTAAGTACTTGAATTTGTCTAGACGCCTCAATCAGATCTTCTTCATTTCCAGTATTTTTTCTGACTCGTACTGCTTCCTCTCCTAATGACCTTACAGGGCAGTCAACCCCAGGCAGAAGTAATCTTGCAGCTTGCAAAATATCGTCTTTGTCGATTATTGCCGCGAATCTGTGCTCCCCATGAGCTGTTGCTACCCTTAACCATTCTACAAGCGGAGGTAACACAACATACGCTCGTTCGTAACATAATTCCTAAAAAGGAATATAAATTTTTATGTTAATCAAAGAGAATATATGATTACAATACCTGAACAGCGTTACTTCCATTTTGCTCCCCATGTTCCAACTGCGAACACCTCATGAAATAAAACAAAGATCTCACAGCTTTAGGACACAAAGGTATCCTTGGTTGCATTCTACAGATCAATTCCTGAAGTTCTTGCAGCGATCCGACACATGTGGTCATTAACGACGGTTCTGGTGGTCCAGAACTTCGACCAGAATCTCTTGAAGAACCCAAACTGGACACTGAAGCCCACCTTGGTAAAGATAAAGCACCTAGGAGATAAAATATTCTTCAATTCCTTTTTGCTTAAGAGATTTATTGTTTATTTTTATACCTGATGCTATTCTGCCCGCATTTAGATGAGCGTACGGTTGCAAGAGACCCCAGAGGTCTCCATTATTTGCAATAGCATGCTCTAAGAGAGTTGCTGTCAAATTTACATCTGAATCGCTAGGCAGACACTGAAGCAAAATCTCTTCTAGTAAATTTTCCAAACCGGCAGCAAGATATACTGCTGCATACCTAAAATACGAACCAAACAAATTTATATAGAAAACGCTAACGCAATCAGTAATCCAACTATCAGAAAACAAAATTTCTATAAAATTATTTCCTTTTCAATTTGATATTTTTTTGTTTAATCCTATCAATTTGTCTGGTAATAATCTTTTTATTAAACACACAAAAAAGACAACATTTTTCCTTGTTTGATAAAACAGTCTTGTTTTTGTATCTAATACAATACAAACGTAGTAGGTATTTATTTGTACTAGTCTGAAAAATTGTAGCCTTATAGTAAATCATGTTGATTATGCAATACTTCAACAATATAGAAAATACAACGGTAAACGCGATGTTGATTTCTAAAATGTCTTACTCTTCAAAGACTGAAAGTGCAACGCGAAAGTTAATCAGTTTAAACATCGATGATATAATCCAAATTCGGTACAGAATAAATTTCATATATTGGTTACCTACATGTAATTAATATAAGAAAAAAAATAGTAACATAATGTAAATCCTAAATACTTTACAATCGTTTAAACTTTGGAAGGTTCTTATCAGTCACCTAAGAACCATTGTACTTCAAACCATGTACCTTCAAACTTGATACCGTGCAATTTCCTCAGAATAATTATAAACGTACAAAATTTGGCCAAACACTTTGGCATCGGAATGGAAGAGATTAAAAATGGTGCATTCTACGAGAACTTTTGATTGGAAATGGTTTATTCAGATCTACAAAGAAAGATTTTGTTTGAACTATTGCAACCCAAAATTAGTTTTTTTACATAAAGGTAATTACTACGAGGCAACTATATGTTACGACACCCACACCTTTCTTTCTTATTTCTAAGCTTTAAAGATTATAAAAATGTTTCAAAAGTCCTAGCAGATTATAATAAGTCATCCTTGCACTGACTGCTGGAACCAGATGTTGAGGCCAATGACAGCTGATGAATTAGCAGGAAAGGCTTCATCAACTCCTTATATTGGTTCGGAATCTGTCAAAAACCGCGGGAAATGCGGCGGGAAATAAGGAAATTGATCAACAGCATAAGATATATTAAACCAATTTATCCAGGCATCAATATGGATATAGATCTTCATTAAAAAACCAAAAAAACATCAATGAGATTGACAACTGCTGTGATTGAGACGGAATCATTAACGTATTGGATACTGTGACCTGAAAAGAACTGAGCTGTGTAAAGACGACCTAGAATGCAGACTTTACAATAACGTAACGGAATAGTACATTGTGTGTGTACAGTGGTGAAAAGTTGCCAATAGCGCCACGCAGTTGACGCACGAGCGAAGCGAGTGCGGAAAGCGCCCAAGTGGCGCTATGGCGACTTTTCCGAACGAGTTGCACCTACTATTTTCTATCACAAGTGGGAGTCGTATGGGACCTATAGCATAGGGGGTTAGGTGCACGGAAAGTGCTAGATAGTACAACAGCGTGATGTTATTTTCATAGCGCAACGCTCGAGCGTTGCGCTATGAAAATAACATCACGCTGTTGTACTATCTAGCACTTTCCGTTCACCTAACCCCCTACACTATAGGTCCCATAGCGAGCGTGCGTGATAGAAACAACTTATCATGTTTTGTAGGAATGTGAAATATTAGCAGAAGGCAAACTCTTTATAAACATCCAAAATTGGATCCAGAAAAGTATAGCAAACAACCCTAGGTGAGATTGTATCAATTAGTGCCTGAAAAAGAAGCTAAATCGAAATGAAAAATTTATTAAAATAATCCACAAAACTACGATGCTTCTGGAAGCAATATGACATAACATGCATACCATGTTCCATTAAAAAAAAAACATAATTTAGTTTGTTCCACTTTTTAAAAAACGCTCTGGAGAAAATTTAAAATCATCATAAAATAATTTTAGTTGATGGATACATTTTGTATACGAGTTTTTTTGTAATTTGTAATTTGTAATTTGTTGTAAAAATAAAAAATTAAGGCGAAGTGACGTTTATTTATAACTAACAACATTGTAAAAGTGGTAAATTTGAAATAAAAAATTGTGTTTCACCAACTTTTGAAGCCGAATTGTAAAGCCTTTGGGAAACATGTTACTCTTGTGTTTCTTACTTTTGCGACTGGAACCAGTCCTGAAAATTTATCGCAACGTCACTGTTACACCCTGTAGAAGAGTCAAATATATATTTTGTCTTAGTGATAATCATTTTTTGTAGAAAAATCTTAATGAACATGCCTTCAAAAAATGAATGAAAACTTTACAAAAATTTTTTACTTGTTTGTACAATAGCATTTTCCTTATGCATTAAACTATATTTATTTACTCGTGTTGTGATCTAATCATATAATTAATCAATTTCCTATATCCAAAGAGAAAAGGAAATTATTTTATTCTTTTGCAATTGTACACTTACTCGTGGATAAATCTAGCTAAATTTACATCCGCCATCCACCTATGGAATCTGCCAATATGTAGTTGCAGTCCTGCTCTGGATGATTTACTCTGCTTCAGCGTGCAATCACCCGACATAGCCAACATAGCTGCTGCCCTTAGGCAGGCTTTTATGCATGAATCGGCAAGGGGAGGACATAAAACGATGCGAAAGGAAACTGTAACGTCATGTTTCGTACATATACCTAACGTGGAAGAGAGTCTTTGAGTTTCACGCCCTATTCGAACAAGGGCCCTCTGTAGCAAATAAGATAATCTCGGGATAGTTTCCACACTGACTCTAGACATATGATCCCTGCATCTGCCTGATTGCAACACTCTCAAGATGCAGTGGTTCGTCCAAGGTAAATGCTGCAATTCCACCAGTCTAAAATATGCAAATTATTACCAAAAGTGTGATATTACATTTCTTTATTTTTATTTTCTACCTGTTATGAGAATCTACCCATACAAACTCATCGGCATTTGTTATATTTGTGTTAATCGTTTCTAATGACGAATGTCTCATGAGTCGCCTCATCGCTGGTTCCGAACTCTCTGAGCCAGCACTTACACTGGAATAAGTGCTGGTGGAAGTATGGGATCTCATAGTGAGTTGTTGAAGAGCTAGCTTAATATCCTCTAAACCCCCGCTCCCCGTCCATGGCACATGTAACTAAAAAGTAAAGATGACGTATTTTATTTGATGACGATTGGAATACAAAAAATGATATATACCCTAGCAGGAGTAGCTCTATGTCTAGATCGATTATGTTGAGAGCTGGATCTATTTCTCAATGGTTTTTGCATAACACCAGCAGTCAATCGATCCATTCCTGAACTGGAATGACCTCTTGGGGAACTGTTGCCAGTGTCTGACATACTGGCATGTCCAGAAGATCGATTGTCGTCTGAAGAACTGTTTCCACAATGCTGTGCTCTTGCCTAAAAGAACATTCAATTAAAGGTAATTTATTTTCTAAAGCCACAATCATTAAATTGCAGATTTATTTGTGTCCTATTTTTTCATATCCCCGTTTGAACACGTCCAAAAGCTTGCAAAAAACATTTGGTGTAGCATTTTTATCCAACTTTGGACCGTATTATTACTCCTTTTTATATGCGGATTTACAGTTCTGCAAAAACATTTCAAAACAGGTAGGTAGTAAAAATCAATCAATGAAGAAGAAATCGTTTCGCCTCACATTTAGTTATCACGATGAAAAAATTTGTGCATATCTGCGCTAAATAAGTTATGGTAATCATAGTTTGGAGCATAAGTGGCTCTATATTGGTACGTTCCTTCTAAGAGAAGGTTAAAAGTGTGTCTAATACATACAGTCTTGATTAAACGCTATAGAATTTTCATTTATTTGAACTTTTTAAAGCACATTTTCAGGGTAAAAAATTCACAGATGACAATGCCATATTGAGGCAGTACAAAGTTGGTTAAGAACCACACCTCAACGTGAATATTTGTAAAAGACAAGCAAACCAAGTGTGTTATAAACATTGCAAAAAATTTCTCTGAGTGTTCTTATCATTAACTACTGCATTTATTTAATAATTTTCCTAGTGCGTTTATTTATGGATATATTTTTTGTACATGATGGTATGAAGACGAATGGTATAAACAATGATTAAAGCGTTATAAGTCTACAAAAACGAGAAGAAACGGAGAAGAAATGGCAATTTTTCATCTTTTATACATTTAGGAGAATTATGGAAATAGCATTTTATAATATCTTTATGTACAAATAAAATGATAAAGTAACTTTAAACTTTCTACCTGCATCCTCAATTCTTGAACACTGACATGGTGATGTTGTCTGGAAGAAACCATTCTGTGGTCATCATTACTTGCATATTCCCCACTGTATTTGGATCCACTCTGATTCTGTGGTATTCTTAGGTTTCCCACTGCATTTACAGAACCACTGTTCACCTTATTAGGTCCAGTGTCCCTTTCTGGAACCATATTTACTGAGGAATGCGAACAATTGTACTTAGAATACTCATGACTATTGTTTAAATTATTTTTCGTTGTGGACAAATTGCTTTTCTCAATCTGTTCGTTAAAAGTAGAGGTTTTTACATTATTTGCAACATAAAGGTGTTGGAAATGTTCTACTTTTCTTTTAGGAGAGACCATTCTGTCATTGGTGGTATGATTTTCTGTATTTGTAGGAGAAAATGCTGGTTTTCCACATGTTGTGTTAGCTGGTGTGTTAACTCTAGAAGAGTCTTTAGTAGAAGTGTTGCTTTCATTGTTTTCAAGATAAGAAGGTTCGGTACGCGAATTGCTGGACAGTCTGAAAGAAAATAATAGTCGAATTGTATAAAAAAGGATTAAAACATGAAAGAATTTTTCACTAAATGTTAAAACAGTGACACATTTTATGAAATAAGTGATTAAATAACATTTAAATAACACAATTGGTATAAAATATATTTTAAAAAAGGTATCCATAAAGTTATCTTTGATATTCTTGTAATTAATATGCCTAACGCATAAACGTTACAAACTTATTACGTAAGTAACTTTTGCAAGGCAGAATATTAGTAATAAAATAAATCAAATAATTTTTATTATTCCTCTAAAATAAAAACAATACTTAATACTATGCAAAAATTGTAAATTACAAATTAAACACTTTAATCCATGGAATTATGATATTTCGCAGTTTAAATAACTTTCTCATAGTTTCTTTATATTTATTTTTACTTTTTATATAACTTTATACTCTCTCAAATGTATACAGGGTTGGGCAAATGTGTCTGAACACCATAATTTTGATTAAAAAATACCTTTAACAAAAGTTTTTATAATATTTTTTATTCTTTTCATTAATTTCCAACATCTACTTTATTTTTAGAGATGCAGTGTTGTCGACAGTTTTTTTAAATGAACCACCCTGTTTCTTTTAATATTTTTTAGAAAGAGATTTTCACCGATTACAATGATATAGGGTTGCGGGGTCTGCGATTTAATGTTGTTTAAATGTTGAATAAAACAATAAAATAAAAAGTAAAAATGTTATTTAATGAAAATGCTAATAAGATCTTCCAACTCTTCTAACGACCGAGGTTTATTCTTGTAGACAACATATTTTAAATGACCCCAAAGGAAATAGTCTAACGGACTTAAATCTGGCGATCGCGGTGGCCATTCAATATATCATTTTCGACCTATCCATCTCTGTGGAAATACATTATTTAGGTATCGACGAACGTCAACTCCATAATGAGGCGGAGCTCCATCATGTTGATACCAAATGTCATTTGAGAGTAGTTCAGAATTTGCTTGGTTTGGTAATAAACAATTCAATGCTGGAACAATTTGCTCACACAAAAGTTGTAAATAACGATTAGAGTTCAAATGGGCCGATGATGTGTCCGCTGATTATGTCGATCCATACATTTAATTTCAGAAGGATATTGAGTGCGATGTTCTTCTATTCAATGTGGATTTTGATCACTCCAGTAACGACAGTTATGCTGATTTACAAAACCATTCAAGCAGAATGTCGATTAACCGGAGAAAAGTATATTATTGACAAAGTTTCCATTATTCTCAATGTTGTTCAACATTTCCTCACAAAATTGCATCCTTCTATCAAGTTCATCCTCATTTAATTCTTATAATAAATGGACTTTATAGGGATGAAATTTATTTTTGGACAATATCCTCCTTACTGATCTCTCACTAATATTGTGAGATAAGGCTACTTGAGGCACTGAAGTTTTTGGTTTTTCTTATAGATTGAGAATAACATTTAGTAACTTATCTTCATTTGTAGCTGATTTAGGTGCGCCAGGGTTTGTAAGATTTTTAACAATTCCCATTGAATAAAACTTGGTCACAACCGTTGAAACTGTTGATTTTGAAATATGGGAATTTCTTTCAAGGAAAGTAGCATTAAAAATATTGCATTCATCTTCCAGAGATCTCTTCCTGTCTCCAACGAAATTCTTTCACTTTCACTTAGTTCACCCATAACATGAAGTTTGAACAGCAATCTTAATATCATCTGACAGGAATATATGATTTGATTTCTTTTAAACAAAATTTGCAAAAACGATAGCAAATCCAATTATTTTTTCAGGTAGTCGAGTCAACTCTCAATGTCACTCTTTGGAATTTTGGAAAAGGAAGATAATACCGTCAAAAGAAAATTAAACAAGATGATTCACCCCTTTAATTAATTACATAGACTTAGGATACACCCTATATAATGACAATAATTTGTACAATACATTACAATTATGTAAAATAGAGGTTTCATTTTAATTTTTATTTGTATCTTCTTTAATTCACACCGGGTAATCATTTTTCTAGAAGCGCCACAGGGATTTCGGTTATGTTAAGAGTTCAAAAGTTGATCAGGTTAGGGCAAAGTTGTGGGATTTCATTACGAATTACGTACCGAAGAGACATTTCAAACTCAATGTTAGGGCACTTTTTTGTGGAAAATTCAAATGTCGTGTTAACTGTAACGCCCATAGGGACGAAGAAACAACATTTACATAACTTTTATTTTACTTATGAACGCAAATTGATTACGTAATCGATTGATTTTTCTCAGTGACTTCATATCAATAGCCTAGAAAGCAAATGTGATAAGTACCTATTTTGAGCAAAATTTTAATACGGGCATATATCTTATAAAATTTCTACAGAACCTTCATAAATGATTACAAGTCACGTGACCAGTAATTTTGTTTGAAACTGTAAATTTATTTGCTTAATTTTGGGAATAAATTTCCATAAAATTAAACATTATTAAAACAATGAGTAAATACATCAGTTAATCATCTTAAACAACATATAGTTTAAATAAGTAAGTACTCTTACAAGTTTTCAGATAAAAAATGGGTGTTAGAGAAACTTAAACTTGAATTAAATTTAGAAAACAGTGATATTTTAATGTAAAAATAACGAATCAGAAAAAAATACAAATTTAAAAGATACACTAAGGAAATTAATCAATAAGTATATTTTGCACAGATAATCTGTACTTATTATAATAGCAATTTTTTCTTATTAGTGTTAAAATATCATATGCCAAACTTAATAAAAATTATTTTGCTAACAATATTTATTACCTTAAGTCGATAATTTATTAGAACAAAAGGGTTGGTAGAATACTTCTTCCACCAGGTAAGTAGATAAAGATATTTTCTAGTTATTATAATTGACATGCAGACGCGAGGTCTGCATAGTACCTATACGGGTCATCCACAACTTATCTAAAAAAAAATTGGGAATAGATGCGGCATGAAAAATGAATTCAATATCGAAAAAAAATAATTTTGTAAAATCCTTATAGTTTTCGATAAAAAAATTAATGAAGTTGTAGTACAACTGGTACGCTGGTACGCTGGACAACTGTAGTGGCTAGCATCATTTGCGTTGTGCGCTTTACGCAATGCGCGTGGAGAGCTACGTGGCCCCAGCGACTCCGAAAACTGAAATTCGATTTTACAATTGGTATTAACGTCGTTGCGATAGTGTTTACAATAGTTTTTTAGTAGTGTCAAAAATTGCTTACGTGTATAACAACTCGGAGTTCATGCATATTGTTGTAATTTATGGTGAAGCAAGACAAAATTTTTGTGTTACGGTGAAGCAAGACATTTGTGTTAGTTCGTAGAAACTGGGTAAGACAGGCCCAAATGTTTTTACACGTCCTTGGATAAAATTTTGAACAGTTGTAACATCAATTTATTTTATTAATTAAAACCACAAATTAATTAATTAATAGCGGTAGTTAAATTTGCTGTAATAAAATAGGTGTTATAAAATTCTATTTATTTCTTTCCTTGCGAAATTCTTTCAAGTTTTTGTCCGTTCACTTTTTATTACACTTTGTCGTCATGTCGGTCGCCTTGTGTAAGGTTAGGTTTTACAGTGGACTAGTTGCCAGTGCCGTGCAGAAGTGTTTTGTAAATCATTTTCGAACTGCCCTTTTTGATTTTTTTTATTTAAAAAATTGTATTTGTAAGTCCTGCGCAACCACAATTTTTTTGGATAAGTTCTGAATCATCCTGTATAGCCATTTTGTATTCTACATTACAACAGGAAGTGTGCCTGTCTTTCATACAAACAATGTATTATATTTGTCAGTAATATAATAATAACCAACACGTGAAAAAATCCACAAAAAGGGACCAGAGTTGTGGCGAGACACTCATGGTTCTTGCATCATGACAATGCTTGTCAGTTTTATACCAAAAATGAGATTACTGTCCTCCCTCACCCTCCTTATTAGACAGATCTGGCGATTTTTTCCGAAATTAAAAAATCAGTGCTGAAAAGACGCCGTTTTTAGACTACTGATAACATTAAAGTAAATTCGTCACAGATTTTAAAGGCCATCTCAAATAAAGCTATGTATGAATAGGGAAAATTAAAAAACTAAGTAAAACGCATATAGCTATGACAAAAAAATCACTTATTATTGTCTAAAAAAATGGTAAAAATAAATATATTTGCTGGTATTATCATAAAACCCGTTTCCTAGGATGACAACCTAACAACCGCGATAAAAAAAATTTCTAGGGTAAAAATTGTACTATAGGTTGCTACCATAATAAGATGATCTTGCAAAATAAATCTTGCAAAAATAAACATCTAATAGACTCATTTAGAAAAATATAGAAAAATTTTTTATGTCATCATCGTAACCTTTCTGGAACCTATTTAAAGTATATATTTTGTTAAGGTTAATCAATGGCTAAATGATATTTCTCTCAGTATGTGTTGCTGAATTGAAATAATGAAAAGGAAAATGACATTCAAATTTTATTAAGGGGAAATATAATTAATCCAGAGCATTGAAATATCCACAGAAAATCCGTCAAGACAAATCAATAGTACTTAACTGAAGAATTAATCCTTTAGGGTCAATTCTGACTCACCTCTTGGCCCTTGGGTGTATCTGTTATCAATTTAGCTAAAGCATGACTAACTAGAGAGTATTTATATTATGAAAAGACTATATTTCACAGAAGATTACTTGTTTTATGTATTACTAAGAAAAATAATTTGTCATAAATATCCATTTTTTAAAATAATTTTCATAAATGATCACTTACTTTAACAATATCCTTAAAACTACAGATATGAGTAAACAACAAATGAACTATGGGTGAAATATAAAAAACCAAAGAGTGTTACACCTCAATGGTTAACGCTACTCAGGGTCTTTGGTAGTGTTGAAATGATTTTCAAACTAGCAAAGAGCAACCTGCTAATCGACAGGTAATGTGAAACCAGGACCAATGTCGTAAGTGAAGCAAATGATAACAT